TGCCGTCATGTAGTGAAGCTTAATTCGAGATGATACACAGTTTCATTATCAAAGTCGCTTTCAACAGTTTCCAGTTGTAAGTCATAAAACTGTAGCGGGAATGATAGACCTTTTGCCGGTCTTGTGTATCAAATAACTTACGGACGTCTGCGGCACTGGTGATATCGAATGTAATTAACTACTGTTCAGTACTTTGATGACGTACATAGATTTGCTCCCATACTGTACAAAGTGACATACTTTTGTACTAAGAAATGCACTTGTGTTCTCATCGGTTCCATGTTTTGCAAACCAATACTTCCAGAATCATACCTGGTAACGTTGTGATTATCATTTTGTCACAAATGCCAAGACGCCCGGAGATATTTTAGATTTTGAAGTTATTTTTGTTGATCTCTTAGAACATTTAGATCTCGGCTGTCCTCCATTCAAAGTTTGGCATGCCAAACTTCGGCATCTTAATTTACTTACACATCTTATGCAGATGGTTCTCAGTCATAGGCAGTTATTCAGCCTGGCATGTTCACCGGTCTTACGGAGTCATGCAAGGTCATATGGTTGTCGGACACAAACGACAGTATCGCGTTTAATTAACTCTTGACAAGGACTAGTTTTATTTTCTTTTTAGCATCAAATAATTCAAGGCATCCTTGAAAACATTCATATCTTTCGAGGAAAGCTTAATAGACTTTTTCTTTTCCTGATGAACCACTGCGGATACAAGTTGATTTCTCAAATATTCAAGTCAAAAACAATGACTCATATTCAGATTCAACCAGTAAAACGGAAAACTGAATCTGCTTCCGTATTTTTATTGACGTAAGTTGTGCACAGTGCATACTGTAATAGTCTTATCTTCATTTTTACACTGGTCAAGGAACGCCATGCAAGTGATCCAAAAACCTTGCATATATAAACGTTTTACTGTTTTTGGGCTTGACTACCGTTTCAAAGAATACGTGTATGTCTCGTTACATCGGTTTGGTAGTAAGTTTCAGAAATGAACCAAGATAGTTAAGCTATATAAAAGACCAAGGCACTTGTGACACGAGCTCTTTCCAAGAAACACTTCGACAATAGGAGGTTAAAGTCAGCGCTGATTTACCATCCCATACAGATTAAGAATAGGAAGTTTTCCATTTCTTGCGTGTGGAAGCCTTCTAACCATTGATTCTCTACTTGAATACTTTCCTGACTGGTTTGCTTGACACTAACTTTTGATTGCATGGTG